TATCTGGTAAACTCGTCCCTTACCACATTGTTCAGAGATCCGGGCCCGTCTGAAGTACTGCGTAGGAGTTGGTCAGTTGGTTCCAAGTCGCTGCATCATCGTCAATCTCTCTGACTGAGTCGTTAGTATCACTGTTTCTTCCCTTGTCGATATCACTCTGTCCGCACTGATTCTTGTACTCTTTCTTTGTCGGAAGCCCACCTATCTCTTAGACTTGGGGATCAGGAACTCTTTGGTGGCTTGAGATTGCCTTGTAGATAAAGAGTCGCTCTGATAAACCACAACGCGACGGCTAATCGGACTCCAATAGATTCGGATGACCAAATACCAGTAGTATGGTTTACGCTAAAATCAAATGTAGAATACTCTAGAAATCCAATATCAACCAACTTGATCAACCAACTTGATCAACCAACTTGATCAACCAACTTGATCAACCAACTTGACCAACCAACTTGATCAACCAACTTGCTGACATAGCACATTATTTTATATACTGCACCTAACGCCATTATTGATTATACATTATAAGATCAAAGAATATTGAAAGTAACATTTTTGATTTTTGTCAGCTACGATCCCGGTCCCAATCCCGGCTTAATCCCGGTCCCGGTCTTATTCCCGGTCCCGGCACTTTTTTCCAGTCCCGGTCCGGTCCCGGCCAAAAAAGCGGTCCTGGTCGATCCTTGGGTATAACCATACCATACTAAAGATATAGGTTGGGAGGGGTGTCACAAAGTGGCTGTATTGGGAACATACACCAATATCATAATGTACTAATGGTAGAATTTCCGTGTGCGTGTATAATACTATAATAGTTACAGTACTACTAATGCTGCAATAATACCAATTACCTTTTATTTATAGTTCTGACTTCTGTGTTCAGCAGAGATGTGGTTAGTTTCGTAACCAGGGTTACTTGTGTTTAGGAGAGAGTGACTTAAACGTGGAATCTGATCTGTTTATTAACAAGGAAATAACTAAGTGATAATAAGGTCATTCGTGATATGTTGCACCCTGTTAATAGCAAGGAATGCAATATAAAACAGGGATATTTCCAACATATTTCTTTGCATCACTTAAAAACTATTACATGTCCCTCATTTAAGAGAACCATTTTTACGTACCTCTAACGTGATGACTATTTATTTATCCTGTAAATGTTATGCCATTAAAAAGGGCAGGTAAAAGAAATGAACATAATCATTACTCCTCATAACATAATCATTACTCCTCATCACCATGGCTACCAGAGAACTTTGAACATTAAACACTCTATTAAACTATTAAAACAGCTGCCCTCAAACAGTGTAGTGGTGGGTCCCTAGTTGTCAAGTAGTTAATGACTATATCCAGGGTGTCAAATGTCGCACTCCAGGTTCCAACAGGTGTAAGTGTGTAATTTATTCTAGCAGCCGTCTGCGGAGATGGTTATTGGTGCGCGGCTGAGAAGGTAGTAACTCCAGGTACAGGTGCTGACCAACAAGCAGGGTACTGGTTCAAATACTGATTAAGACTAAATATGTACTTATAGTTGTAATGATAGTGGCAATGTTGCAGACGCTATCTCGGTATTATTACTTTTATTAGTAGCGAGGGAGCTGGTTGTATAATGGGGGTTATCAGACGTGAAATACAGAAATACAATGTAGTTACTACTACTTACCACTACTTACCACTTACTGTAATGATGGTTACAATGGAACTGTGACCTTGCTGAGTCTCGTATAGGAAACGATCGAAATTTCTATTTGTGATTCGACTGACGTAAAATCACAGGAAAAGTTTACATTTTCTGGCAGCCTAGATGATTTGCCGCAGGAGATGCTTTTAGTTAGAGATTTACTTTAGCAAGACTTGAAACACGGTTCTATAATTCCATAGTATAACACTGTTCAATACATGCAGTTTAATCGTCATGTCAAAAGGGAGCAAAAACCACAATCAATCACACACACATATATATAGCCTCTTGTTTCTTGCCATTAGGGCGTAGCTCCTCTTTGAGGTGAACCCTCCAGCCCTGTGTATGCTTCTTCTTATATCTTCTTCATATCCTATTCATCGTTGCCAGTCCGTCATTACTTCTCACGCTCTACAGACCCAAGGTTTGCAATTCCTAATCAGAGTACTTGAGATGAGCATGACCAGGTTATAACAGTTGAAATATACAGGCTGTAGTCCTATCTGTACCACAGTAATCCATGATCTCATGATACTTAATTCCTTGTCAAACCCCGGCAGCTGTATGCAATGAGATTAAACAGTTGCCCATACCGTAGGAAATATGTGTTTGTTAATGATTACAATCTAAAGCCTATCAAAATCAATAAAGTTCAAACAATTTGACGTTAAAAAATTCTGTTCTGTCCAATGCAGATTCAAAAAAAGCCATCCCAGTCCGATCATTCCACAATGTGGAACTTCATACATCTCTTACTGAATAACAACTTACTAACTTGTAGAAGATTAATCAGCGGGGCGTGATGATTTGCATGACTTAGATAAGACGCATAAATTATGTGTGTCGGCTAAATATGTCCTGTGCAAGGTGATGAGAGTAAGTGGCAAATAACCCAGAGGTTACATATTACTAACAGCTACCACTTGTATTTTTACTCAGTCCTCAAGGTTAGATCATGGCCCAATATGAGACAAACACAAATTTCCCACGGTATATAGAGGCCGTGGGAAATATATTTTAAACGTTTTCTAATTTTCTAAACGTTATCTTCATATCTTTATCAATATGATCGTTTGAGGTCTATTTCGTTTAAATTATAAAGATATTTTCAGTTTAAACCTCCTGACAGACATTCTTTCTTTCAGAGCAAACTAGCAGCACTGGACGAACTGCAGAATCATATCAGAAAATCAAAGAATCAGAGGTAGGGGAATTATTCTGACAATAAATACAGGTGACATAGGATTATCGGTATACCGCAGTAATTTCCAATGACATTTAGAATAATCGGTGATAAGGAAGTCCGTTTAATTAGTGGTAATAACTAATACCTGATCAAATCATCGTAATTGTTGCAAGATTGAAGTTGTTCGCCGTGTTATGTTAATCCTACCAAACGCGTTTCCATTCTATAATCAACTTTGATGTACCTATTGAAGTTAATACACCACCATGCAAGTCTCAAGGAAAATAACAAACAATTTGATTGAATAGGATCTGCAGTCATGTAACGCGCATTGCAACAATAGTACAGAAATACCCATTTTAAGCTCGCAGAGTAACAGATTTCACAGTGCCGAGAATTGCGCGCGCTGTAAAGTTAATACAGAAAATGTACATGCCTTCAACTAAACAGGTATAGTAATAGTAACTTAAATTCAGACCATCCAAGGACTAAGAGCTGTTTGTTGTTTCCCAAATATTTTAGCAATAATTGATAGGCTTGCAGATATTTACCTATTTAAAAATCTTCACTGAACGGTCATTACACAATCTGCTGACCACCTCCAAACAAATTTACCGCAAAAACATGGACCATATTCAAGAGCCTTTCGCAATTTCTTTCAGATTATTGTTTGCCTGGTAATGGATAAAGCGGAGCTAATTTTGGAAATAAGCTCGTAGATAACCCTATAATCAATTTCCAAAATTTTGCTCATTAGTTCAAACTTCAGATTTCCAGGACATTTTGTTTCAAACTTGGACAATTAATTAATTTCGCAATAAAAATACGTTGTGAATGAGGACAACTCTGTACTGAACCTTACATGAAAACATGAACTAACCCCTAGTATAGTGGTAATTTACCAATGTTTACTTAGACTGACGACTGACGATTTCCAGATTTATTTTGAAATATGAATCCCCTGTTATTCTTCTATCAGGGATAAATTGTAGCCCGCACTTTTTATTCATTCACTTAAATGTTGAACTGACTGCTTCACTAATTTCAGAGACAGTCGAGATCGGATAGTAGCAAGCAGACCAAACAGTGACAAACCAAACGCTGACATCATAACTCCGCCATCATCACCCCTTTTATCATGACGTGTGAATATTTTAGTCTTCATTAAACTGTAATTATTATTCCTGCTCTGCATCATCTTAATATGTAATTACTGATTTCTTGTCAGACACTAAACTGCTCAATGATCAAGTGGAATATGAATTAAGTGGATTTTACTCAATCGTCCAAATTTTACGTTAGCATCAGCCATCAAAGGGAATAAGGATTGAAAGATGAAGATATGCTAACGGCAATTTCATTTCTACACACGATAGCTGTGTAAATTCGCTGGTGGCTAAGGAGGAGAGGGATAAAGTATTTTGCTAACGTAATATTTTAGCAGTAAATCTTGGCAAGTAAATAACATTGTGTAATTTCTTTCCTAGCCGGTAGAGTCGACCATTTCATGACTTATATGGAGAAAAATTAGATGAACATTAAGTTGTTGGATTTCCTATTCATAGCAGTTAATACTACGTCTAGCTACAGCCACCTGTTGCTGATATCATCGACAAGAATTGTTCAGTATTCATGTTAACAAATAACTAGCACCTGCCTTAAGAAACTAGTGTGCTCTTAGCGGAAATTTAGTGATACTGCTAGTACAATTTCGGCGTGTTCAAAGAAATGTTCGTTACTGATGCTACATGGGCGATTTTGTGATAATTTTGCGTTTTGCTGGCTACTTCGAGTTTGAGTAAGATTTACGTTTCAACTTGAATCACTGAAATCTTGATTTGACAAAGAGCGTATTATTGATAAATTAATTGTTATCGAATACGAATTGTACAAACATCGAATTCAGAAAACTGACGTGTTCTTTCTTTTCCTAATTTCCAAAAGTTGCAGTTTTGATGGCACGTGGAGACCTTTTGCACACAATTCTCCCGATCGGTTCCGCGCGCGAAAGTCCAACGTCAGCCTAGTGCTGTTCCTGTCTGTCCCACGATCACAGAATTGGATTTCGGGTCAAAGTTAATTTTGATGACCAGGATCTTGTAGTATATTGTGATTATAGAAGACACGGTGTTTGGCAATAGGAAACTCGTACGTATACTGAACTAGTGGAATAAATACAATTTAAACAAAACAATACATTGGAAAATAAACCTCTTAGGCCTCTTACTCATTAATATTAAACTGCGAAGAGATCAGAATTCATATACTTGGTGTAATTTTCGGTGTTGAAAATATGCGGGTCATAATCATGCGATTTTGATTCTGATATCAAAATCGAGTCAAACAGAACTTTCGGCGATCAATATTCATCCATCAAAATATCAATTTCTTAAACGTATTATAATAAGTTAACTAACATTAATGAAAATAGGTTCTGTTAGTTTCTTAGCTCCTTAAATAACTAATTTCTACCCAGCTAAATTTTAAATCTAACAAGACAGGAGATACACACTAAAATATAAATGATAAATGCACATCGCATCAGTACTCGATATAAGTGACTAATAATCAATTCCAAAATTTTTCATAATCCACAAAAATGTATTCCACGAAAAGCTCAAAATTCTTTTCTTAAAGTTGATTCCAAAAACGTGTACAATCGGTATAATAGCTCATATTGCTTTAATTACCCAGTTTTGCTTGTAGCCATGTAAATACGACCAAAATGGTCAAGATTTAGTACACAGCCAGTTTAGAGTGCAGAATGACATTAACTCATTCAATCATGCAGTTTAAAATAACACTCCAATAATTTGATTAACTAGTCTGAATGAGAATTAAATTGATGACAATTTTTTTCAAGAAACTGGTAGTAACTTTAAAGCCCTAGATACAAATTTCGCTACTTGTTCAAACGAATCAGTTTCTTTTCATTTAAAGCTGGAGAGCAATAAATGCCACACCATCTTATGATATAACCCCAAATCAAAAGCAAGTCATCTCGATCACGGCCAAAAATTTACTGCAGAACAGATTACATATTTCGGTTTTCATTAAAACCGCGAGAATGACTTGAGTAAAACTGTAATCTGGAGATAAAATAAATCCGAGGTATGAAATGAAAGAGAATTTGCTGGGTTTGAACTAGTGCAAATGTTAAAATATCCTCACAACTCATCCTTGTTGAGGATAGAATATCTGTTCTTATTTGGCTCAAGTTTCTTAAATACTGATTCAGGAGGGTTGGTGCCCGCTTCTCTTTTCTCGCGTTTTTGCTTGTCCTCTGCAATTTGTTTAGCAGCCTCTTTTGCGTTCTTGGGTGGGGGACGTTGTTCGTCATCTTCACCAACTGAAATATATTGTTGGATTAGTTTACCAAGTTATTAGCTTGTATATGGTCGATTGATGGAAGCTGAACTTTAAATTGTAACATATTGTTAGTTCGATGTGGTCTGCAAAAAAGTGAGTATAAGGAACTTAGCCTGAATGTAACTGAACATTTGTTCTTTGGAAGGCTAAATAAAATTTATTGTTCAAATACAAAAATTTACATCGAGTAATCCTTTCACAAAGAGACACGTGGACCGAGAGTTCAATAACTGGCCATTGTTTACTACAATATCAGTTTATTATGAAAACATTAACTATACTGCGGTCTGAGGAGTTATATTACACACGGTACAATAATTAGTGAACAGGGCACAGTTATAGTTAAGGCTCTACAAACATTGTTACACATTGGGGATAACTGGAACAATAACTGAAGTGATGAAATATTTAAAGGTATATTATGAAATATGACCATATGCATATTGAATGTATTTGAAAGGGAAACCCTTAGAAACCTCTTAGAGCCGACAAATGATATCTAGTAAACATCATTAGACTAGATAGTACTCCATGAAGCACATTACAGGGATCACATTGCTTATTAATGATTATAATGCATCTTATTGATTATAATCACGCAGAGAGTAGAGACATACATGTATTAAGAGGCAACATACAAGTGCGGTAGTTATTTATTATTATTACCATCAGATGGAAAGTTTTGACAATGGATTGACTTTTAATACTATCGATATAATGTACGTACGTATAACTATTAACCATAGCAAAGTTGAGCTCAATATAATGAAAATAGTGCCCGGAAGAGCCTGAGTTAGGCTCATCACATGGAGGGTACAAAATATAACTCCACTTTTGAACTGGGGGGGGGGTCAACCTCATTTTACCTCATTTTACCTCATCCCAATTTTGCCTTTTTTGGCTGGCCTCATGAGGTAAAATGAGGTAAATCTCGGCAAAAATTTTAACAGGTAAAATTCTCTAAATCGTCAATTTAGTCACGAAGGAGTATGGAAGGAGTTCTAAATGTGTGTTCCTCTAATATAAACAGTAAGAAATGGTTAACTTTAGTCGAGGTCTCAGGTCTCTACAATGTCGGGAAGTTCCTGCAGGAATTTGCGCATTGCGCTTGAAGCGCAAGATTCACAGCGCCAAAAGCGAAGGTCGTAGAGACATGAGACCTTGACTAAAGTTAACCATTTCATACCATTACTATATATAGTAATGGTATGAAATGGTAATAAGAGTATGCCACTTTCAGAGTCCTGAACACACTCCCATATCTCTTAATCGTCAATTATAGGGGGGGGGGTGTCACGTCCGTCTATGTCCGCCTATGTCCTGTCCTTTTTGGATTCTATGAGACAACGGACGTGTTTTTTGGGACATAGGCGGACACGGACGGACATTAGCGGACACGGACGGACATTGGCGGACTCGGACGGACATTGGCGGACTCGGACGGACATTGGCGGACTCGGACGGACATTGGCGGACTCGGACGGACATTGGTGGACATTAGCGGACATATTTAAAGAGGTCTAAAGAATAAAGATCTCACAAATATTCCCAATATTTAATTAAATCCAGTCACCAAATCCGGTCGCTAAATCCAGATCTATTTGTGTCGTCAACATATCTTTGAAACAGTTACACAGGGTACACAGTAGGCACAGTACCTATTTAACGAAATATAGGAAATACAGGGTGAGTTGAAAATAGTGTGTGGAAAGTAAATGGCTCTGATTTTTTTGACAAATGAAATTTCCACTTAATTTTTGCATATTTAGGTAATGAAAATATATACTTTTTAACCCCATTAGGACGAATTTAAGATTTTTTGGAAAACTGCCAAAAATCAACCAAATTATGAGTTAGAATCACGTGAGAGGCAAGAATGAAATATGTAAAGTTTATGAACTGATAGCAATTCACCTTTCAAAATTTGCTCCTTCATAAAAAAAATTATCGATTTTTACTTTCCACACACTATTTTCAACTCACCCTGTATAACTTATTAATCACACTAAAGCTATTAATAGCTTTAACTTATTTTATCAAATTATATAGGGACCCAGGAAAAGGCCCCAGGAGGAGGAGGAGGAGGAGGAGGAGGAGGAGGACTGGGGAGGAGGAGGACTGTTGAGGACTGATGAGGAGGACTGAGGACGAGGAGGAGGAGTAGGAGTAGGAGGAGAACTGAGGAGGGGAGGAGGAAGAGGACTGAAGAGGACTCAGGAAGACCCAGGAGGAGGACCCAGGAGGAGGACCCAGGAGGAGGAGGAGGAGGACCCAGGAGGAGAAGGAGGACTGAGGAGGACCGAGGAGGAGGACTGACGATGACTGAGAAGGAGGAGGACTGAGGAGTACTGAGGAGGATGGCTGAGGAGGATGAATGAGGAGGATGACTGAGAGGGAGGAGGAGGAGGACTCAGGAGGAGGACTCAGGAGGAAGAGGAGGAGGAGGACTCAGGAGGAGGACTTAGGAGAAATGAGAAGGAGGACTGAGGAGTACTGAGGAGGAGGAGGACTGAATAGGAGGAGAAGGAGGGGGACTGGGAGTCGGGAGAGGACTGAGGAGGAGGAGGACAGATGAGAAGGATGATGAGGAGGACTGAGGAGGAGGACTGAGGACCGAGGAGGAAGAGGAGGAGGATGAACAGGAGGAGGAGGACCCAGGAGGAGGAGGACTGAGGAGGAGGACTGAGGAGGACTGAGGAGGATGGCTGAGGAGGATGACTGAGAGGGAAGAGGAGGAGCAGGAGCAGGACTCAGGAGGAGGAGGAGGAGGACTGAGGAGGACTGAGAAGGAGGAGGACTGAGGAGGAGAAGGAGGAGGAGGAGAACTGTATAGGAGGAGGAGGAGGGGGACTGGGGGAGGACTGAGGAGGAGGATGGAGGACTGAGGAGAAGGATGAGGAGGAGGACTGAGGACTGAGGAGGAAGAGGAGGAGGATGAAGAGGAGGAGGAGGACCCAGGAGGAGGACCCAGGAGGAGGAGGAGGACTGGGGAGGAGGAGGACTGTTGAGGACTGATGAGGAGGACTGAGGACGAGGAGGAGGAGTAAGAGTAGGAGGAGGACTGAGCAGGGGATGAGGAAGAGGACTGAGGAAGATCAGGAAGACCTAGGAGGAGGAAGAGTAGGAGGAGGAAGCATCTAAATGTTATTTCCATTTTAGTCCGTTTTTGTCCATTTTTGTCTGTTTTTGTCCGCTTTGAAAATATAGGGTACCGAACGGACAAAAAACATGATATAACAGCAAAAATTTAACATTTTATTTAGCAATTTAGGTGTCCATTAATGTCCGCTAAAGTCCGTATATGTCCGTCTATGTCCGCCAATGTCCGCCTATGTCCGTCTATGTCCGCCTATGTCCGCCTATGTCCGCCTATGTCCGTCTATGTCCGCCTATGTCCGCCTATGTCCGCCTATGTCCTGTCCTTTTTGGATTCTATGAGACAAGCGGACATAGACGGACGTGACACCCCCCCCCCCCCCCCCCCATTATATGAATTTTACCTGTTAAAATATATCATCTTTTACTGATATCATTTTAGTTTAACACTGTTAGTTTTAAACAACGCTTTTGCCAAGAATTTCTTCTATAGGACCCACACTAAGTGGAATCACATTCCTCTAGATATCCGTGAGATAGAGAGTATCACTGATTTTAAAAGTAAACTTTCCACTTACATGTGGGGGAAAATTATCCCGGTGGATTCGGACTGTGAACTTGACTATTCAATAGAAACAAATCCGTAAAATAGTTTATTCAAGATTATCTATTCTTGCTGTCTGCATTCACATATTTCTCAATTTCATCTCACAGCACAATATTTTATGAATTGATTGAATGGGTGTGTGATTTTGTTTAAAGTAACTTATTACAATTTTATAAGGGCCCATGCTTGTGCAGGAGCTGCATTTGCACTCAATATCTGTGTTTTGGTGACCCTTAGGTCCTTTGGTTACATACATTTTGTCCGAGACAATTTCAACTTTGACAATCCATGCTTAGAGGACAATATTATATTTAACTAATTCATTGTGTAAACTTGTATGTAATTGACTGATTTGAAAGATTTCAATAAAAAAATTAAAAAAAAAGAAAATAATACTTCACACCAAACTAACACACAATATGAGAATATAAAAAGGAAGGTTTTCTTGGAGACCTGGACCGAGCATCAAAATAGTGTACATTGCTACTGTCATTGTCAAGACTCAAGAATAAGAGGGTCTAGTTGTGGGATTATGCTGGATAACAGATATGATAAGTGGTAACATCCTACAAAAGAATGTTAGCTTACTAAGGAATTTTCCTCTTACTGAATCATACAAGAATTTAACTAAGTTCCTTCTAGTCCTAAGCATTATCTTGTTTCAGAGGGAATGAGTGATTTAAAAAGATGAGGCCGAAGAGTTAGTTGTGAAGAAGGTATTTGTACTCTGTAATTAAATTTCTAAGCTAATTTTTTTCGATATTTTTAGCTATTTACTGATCTTGTCTTGACGTATCAGCAAGAGATCACTGGACCTCGTGAGTTGTTAGTCATGTTATGCTGATACAGTTAGTGACGAGCTATGAAGTAATCATTTGACCTCATTTAATACCGATCCTATCAATGACGAGCTATGAAGTAATCAGTGGATCTCGTCAATGCTCATCCTGTCCGGACTGTCACTGACGAGTTATAAATGAAGACCTCATTGTTCCAAGAAGATATTCCTCTGGTAACAACCCCTTCTGGCCTGCTTCTGAACATAATATGAAGATTCGAAAACCTAGTCTACCTTAATTGGAACTTGCTGACTGCATTGGAAAATGGAGAACAATCGAGAAATGATAATCAGTGCCAGGATATAATCAAAGTTGAATTTGGAATCCAAGGAAAACCTTCCTTTTTTATACTATCATATTAGTGCGTTAGTTTGGTGTGAAGCATTATGTTTAAAAAAAAATTAACAGTGTTAAACTAAATTGATATCAGTTAAAGATGATATATTTTAACAGGTAAAATTCATATAATTGACGATTAAGAGCTGTAGGAGTGTGTTCAGGACTCTAAGAGTGGCATACTCTTATAGCAATGGTATGAAATGGTTAACTTTAGTCAAGGTCTCATGTCTCTACGACCTTCGCTTTTGGTGCTGTGAATCTTGCGCAATGCGCAATGCGCAAATTCCTGCAGGAACTTCCCGACATTGTAGAGACCTGAAACATCGACTAAAGTTAACCATTTCCTACTGTTTCTATTAGAGGAGCACACATTTAGAACTCCTTCCATACTAAATTGACGATTTAGAGAATTTTACCTGTTTAAAATTGGTGAAAAATATGGGCGTGCCCAAGTCAGTATTATACGAAACCTTAGAGACACAAAAATTTTTTGGTTGTTCCCGACCCTATAGAGCAACTAATTAGAGGTGATATCTAATTATTTCAACGAAAGGTGGTTTTCTGAACCGCCCTTTATTCTACAGCGAAACATTGAACATGTACATAAGAACTTAGAATTGTATGAAGTATGAGTTTATATGAGTAATTTATTATGAAATGACCTTTCACTATGCAATTTCGACTAAATTCATGTAGATATCCAATCCAGTTCCATGCATAACTGTTGTTTACATTTGGTCTAGTTAGACACAATTTGTTTCAGAGTGACTCGATAATCGCAATATCAAATTAAGATATTATTTAAATGGTCCATGTCATGCAATGCGGAAATATCCCCATAAATTGGCAACTGCCAAAGTGACACTAAAGTTATTGCTAATTCCTTTACAAAACTTAGCAAGTGCTATTTACAATATCCTAATGGATCATGGAAATTGAAATGTTCAATTTTCTTTTCATAAATAATAATTATAATGCGAAGTTTTATTTTGTTTTTGTTTTAAAGACCCGAGGGCCACCCTTAAGGGCTTTGAAACCGGTTTATTGACAATATAATATATAATAAATAAACTGAAATCGTAACATTCATGTCAATACTAACTGAAATAATATAAGCTGTAGTTAAAATAATAATACTTACTGTCACTTAATTAAGATATATGATGTAATAAAATGAATCTCTTTATTTCCACACTAATTCTCACACCAAGCTTTAATTCACACACCAAAACTTTAAATTTTATCAGATTACAAATGTCCTAATATATACGTCTCTTATCTTTTAGTTAAAAAGTCAGGGGTGCAGCCGTTTAACTTCAATTAAGATTAAAACAATTCATCACGCTGGATCACGATGTTATTCTATCAAAATCAGCTAGGCGATATTTGAATTGATTGCTGGGCTCTGTGTGGTACTGTGTAGTGGTAAGTGGGTGTGTGTGCGCGTGGTTGTTATTATGATGCGTTGAGATCAGCTACGTTGATGATATGTGATTGTGCGTGTTGTGCTGATAAGGCTTTAATTGAGCAATGGCCAGGAGTACTATCAGTAAACTAGTAGCAGGTCTGGCAGTGAAAATTTTCCGATTTCAAAAGTGGTCGGTAATTATTAGTTTTGAAGTGCTTTTGTAACTATTTACCCCAAGTTTGGAGAGTAAGTAGGTTAAACTGGGAATGCCCCTTCCCAGGGACCACATCACCCCTAATAAACCATTAAATATCATGGGAGACCATGCACAGCCTCGAATTATAGTATAATGACTTCGAATAAACCTTTTTTGTCTCTAAAAAAAGGCTTAGAAAACTAGATTTATTTACCTCATTTTCCCTCATTTTACCTCATCCCAATTTTGCCTTTTTTGGCTGGCCTCATGAGGTAAAATGAGGTTGACCCCCCCCCCTGAACTATTTGACGGCCACTTATTATTTTCATAACTGCACCGGTTTTTTTCCAGGGAGTGCGATTACAAAACTAATTGCACTGTTTTGAGAGCAACTAAAAACATGTTCGGTGCGATTACAAAACTAATCGCACTGATTTTCTGAAAGATACTGTGATATATTAATAGCTTTTAGAGGTGATTTAACGGGTGATCTTGGGTGGTCTGAAAATCCACAGCAGGCAAGCAAAACGTTCAAACAATCATCACAACTGCAGATAATAGGGACGGGCCGATTCTTGGTCCATCCCATCCTAGCGGCCAATAGCAATCGATGAGTTATGTCACGTGACTCAGATCCGACCCATCACATAACAGGAGCAATGAGCATTGGACGGTTATCCTATGTTTACTTTTCTTATCTGTATTTGACCCTCTGTTGAGATGGTTATCAGACATTTTTGTGGAGCTACTAGATTGTACAAATCAACCGAGAGAGAGTCGGCGGATGACGTCACTTCGTTTTCTCGGAGGAGGTTTCGGGTTGAAGTGGAGGTTTAAAGTGCGCTGTTCTTTGAGTTGCTCAGTGCTCTCAAAACAGTGCGATTAGTTTATAATCTCACTGTTTTTAGAGCAACTAACTACACAGTCCGTACGATTATAAACTAATCGCACCGATTATATAACACCAGAAGCGTGTAGTTATACGCGAATCTAACTGCATGTTCAATACGATTACACCAGTTATTGCACTCGGCTGCGCCTCGTGAAATAACTGCAATAATCGAACTCGGCTTCGCCTCGTGCGATTATTGTATCAATTTACACTCGGCTGCGCCTCGTGCAATTAATAGTGTAATCGCATTATACGCAGTTAGATTAGCGTATATAACAACATGGAGGATACGTAAAAATAATGGATACAGTAAAAAATGGGGGTTTTACTATAGTATAATCGCATTGTCGGGTGCTACAAGACCCTGTTAGCGGCTATCTAACCAGAGTTGAGCGAGAGAGTACAGAACGATTGACCGGTCAAATCTGTCGAATAAATTCGATGGGATCGAATTAACGTGACCAACACAGAAACTGTTATCATTAAAGTCTGATATCGATTGACACATCTATGCTTATTTTACCAAACTGCACCAGATCATATTTTTGACCCAACTAATAAGGTCCGTAAATTTTCAATAATCATCAAGAATGATATTTAATCAAATCAATGATCTCTAATAAACTTACTGCTATGTGAATTATGTAGGTTCTATCAATCAGGTTTTTTCTTTTTTTAAAGTTAAGTTTTTTTAAATTACATTCTGTTTAGTCTATTTCACATATACTAATCGGCTGTATCTCTGATTAGGATGGATATTTTTTACTTCTATCAATAAAAGCTGACTATCAAACAATAATTAGTAGCCTCCTCCCTGTTCAACATTTTTAAATCCTCTAAAAAAACTCACCTCTATCTTTGAAGACTTCTCCGTGGAACTCTCTATGAAGACGTCCAGAGTGGAGATCCTCAACAAACCTCCTCAACCTCTTTGTTTTCTTTACATGCTCGAATTTAGGAAACAGGTACATGTGCTTGAAGGAGTCGATAGCAATGACAGGAAGATCCTTGGTACTCCTACCCAAATGACTGAGGGGATGAGCAAACTTGAAACCGTCAGCGTGAAGGAAGTTAACTCCAGTTCTCAGATCCTGGCACTCCGCTACTTTCTCAGTGAACAGTTTGACACTATCCTGATCCTCTGGGTCGTGGAATAAGATTACAAACGGTAGTCCTTCCTCTGTTAATTCCTCGCCATTCTCAAATGTGATCTCACGTACAAGAGGTACACAGTTCTCCTTGACCCAGGTCGAGAGTTGGGGCTGGTTTGTGGCAGAGCCTTCGTAGATCTTCTCTCCGTTAACATCGTTGATAAGGAAAACTTTCTCCTGGCCACCATGGGAAGCTATCTTAGGCTTGGCATCATCTCCGGTCATGGCGTAGAAATCGCACTGTCCCAACATGGATTGAGAAGCACCCTTGAAGACTTCATAACCGTAGCTGCTAGTGCTGGCGAAATAGCCTAATACAAACTTTGTTTTTTTCTCTGACTTTAACATTTTGAATTCCTCATCCCCGTGGAGTTGCTTGACTGGATCCTCCATCAACTTGTTGATATGTTCAGTGATTCCTTCAACCGACCTCTGTCCTCTGTACTCAGACTTCATCAGTTCTCCACTTCTCAAAAACTTCATAGTCGGGTACTTGCTGACCCGGTACTTGGAGCAGATGTCATTGTGAGCCACACAATCTGCATACGCCAGCTTAACCCCCTGGACACTTGCAAGCGAATCGGCAGCTTTCTCGTATATAGGTTTGAGTGCCTGGCTGTACCTGCACCACCCAGCGGAGAAGTTGATCATAACAAGAGGGTTATCTTTAATGATCTGGTCCAGGTTGTTAGGGTCAAGGTTTACCATACTTCCGGCAACCACGCCAAACAACACGAGGAACACCAGCATGCTTCCTAAAATATAGTTCAATTGTTAGCTGATAAATCGGCTGAAATTAGAATAAACTTAACAAATCATTTCTTGTAAAAGATTGAAATATATCCTGGAAAGATCACACGGTTAGCTTGCATACTACATTAAATGTTGAACATGTGAGCTAATTCAGGTGGGCACAATACAAATAGGTTCTTTAATTTGTGTGACATGATGGCTTGAAATCAAGTAGTTCTCAACGTTTCCATGGTTTACTCTACTTTCTCCATGATATACTTTGTTCTAACTTCAATTTGTTTATTTCATCAGACTTTAACGTTTTTCCGTCATGAGCATAACAGAGTGGTCAAGCCTCCGGATGTTGCTGAACTGAGAAAGACGATCAAGGTTGTAATACGTTCTTTTGTATCTTTATTTAGTTCCGAATGTATGTATTATATTGCACTTACTGATTTCAGAGTCGCCTCAAAAGTATTTATTCTGAAAATGTATCCAACATGGGAAATGTTACCTGCTCAATTCACATGTTGCAGGGTAAAGAGCTGGCAATATAAATATGATATTATATATATAATAATAATAACTAGAAATGTATACATCGCTTTATAGCCAAAAAGAACTCAAAACCCAAAGATTCAGTTCAAGCCATCTAAATTCTAAAGCGACTCATGAACAATGAACATGTACATAAGAACTTAGCATTTTATGAAATATGGGTTTTTATGAGGAATGTATTTTATGAAACTTATATGAATATTTTCTCAAAAAGATGAGTCTTAATTTCTTTTTAAACAATGTTCTCAATTTATAGGGAAGCTGATTCCAAACGTATGGTCCACAGCTACAGTAGCGAAAACTTCTCTCCGTTTTACTATAGTTATGTATAATGTATTATATAATAATCATGATAATCATTAATCATACAAATCATTCACACAAAATATAAATATAAAATTAGTCTTTATACTAAAGAAACCAATAATCTATATTAATGTAACCAACATAACATGGAAAATGTAACCTACTCAATCCTATGCAGGGTAAAGAGTTGGCAGTCATAGTGTTTGGAGCGAGAAGATGCCGGCACAGTAACCACCTCGAGCACATTGTAAACGAACTGCCTCAATATTTCGACATGTCAAAAGTAGTCATCTTATCTCTGGACTGTCGCTCTGAAAATTTTACCAAATACTGCACAGACAACGATATCAGCAAATTTCCGACAATGAAGATGGTTTATCTTGGAATTCACATGAAGACAGAGTATCGAGGCCAGAGAAAAGTTATAGCCATCAAATCCTACATAGAAAAGCTTGTTGATAATAAGATTCCGATACTTGATGATATTGATAAACTAGTGCAAATAAGAGCGGACAACAATCACCGGTGTGTCATAGGCTTCTTCTCCTCATCAAAAAGCGACATTTTTCAAACATTCAAAAAAGTTTCTGGCATATTCCATGAGCAGTGCTATTTTTATGCGTTTATCAATGAAGTTCAACAACTGCCAGTAATAGCTATCAGAGATTCAGCCCTTGGAGACGAAATTTTCACAGGAAAGCAAGAAATCAATGCGTTATATCAGTGGATAAGAGACAACTGCAGGCCACTTGTACCTGAAATGACATTCAACAATGCAGAGGAATACATTGAACAACAGAAGCCATTGTTAATTTTATACAGGAATACATCCGATGTGGACAGTGTGAACCTGTTCACTAAAGTTGTGAATAGTGAAGTAAAGGATCTATTAGATACCACTATCACTGCATTGCATGTTGATGGAACAGCGTTCAAAAATGCTCTCAGGCTGGCAAACTTGACCATCGAGGATTTGCCACTGATACAAATTGATACATTGAAAACGTTCTATACATTTTCTAATTTCACAGATATTTCTAACTCTGGAAATTTGAGAAATTTTGTACGGGATTGCATTGAAGAGTCAAAAAATGGTACATTTGGGGCTAATAAAAAATCTATTTTCTTAAGATTGAAACCAAGTTCAAACAGATATTCGTTTGTTGAAGATACCTCTGGGAAAGATGAGCTATGAAAAACATGTACACATTGCAATTGTTATATTTCAAAGTAAACTTTTTCAGCCGTTTTATAGAAGTAATAGAGCTTTTAAAGCAATATTTATTTATTAATAATATGTATTTTATGGCATGATTATGCTTATTGCTTAATCACATCAGCAATATGCTGCCTAAATTATCAACATGTATAGAACAGATACACACTTATGTATTTGCACTAGCTAATACTGTCAAGTAAAATATGGTGTATATTCTCATAATTGAAAAACAAGTCACTTTTTTCATGATAATATGAATGCTGGAGTGATTCTTTGGGAGCAAATCACAACCAGTGACTAATTTAAGAGCCATTATCTGACCAACCTTTACTCTAATATATCTCATAACATTGAATAAGTAAAATTCTTCATATGAATGTATACGAAAACCTCCCTCCTATTGCCTCTGTCTTAGTGAACTGGTTTGTGGTGTGAGAGAACTTGATCAGATGACTGCAACAATCCTGCCATGGCTATTTCTGCACACAAGTCTTGGTAGACAGTCTAGATATTCGCTAAAAATTATCTGTTCTACAATAAAGCAAAGATTTTATTTTATACCCTCAATCAATACATATTAAGGGGGCAGGGGGGGGGTCTTCATGGAAATTTTCTCAAAATCGACTTTTTAGTTGTTTCTGATAGAGGGGAGTAATATCTATCAGATGCTTTTAATCCCATGGAAAAATATCGTTCCTAGCCGAAATTATTGCCGGTCAAAGGTCAGCGCGTGTGTGTAATTGTATTAAGCGAGCGATTTTTGATCGCGTGCCCTGAAAATCGAGTCTAAAAATCTATCTTCTCCTACATTTTTTGAGCAATCACCCTGAAACTTTCAGGATATGTTCTAGGCATCATTTAGAAGAGATGAGCCGAGCAGAATTTTGAAATAGGCCTTTAAATATTTTTTATTCGATTTTGAATATCGTGGACCTCGTTTTTTGATGATTTTTCGAGGTCCCCCCTACCCCCTTAAGTTTTAAAAATTTAAAAATAGTGAAATAAATTTTTAGTGAAACAAATTTAAAATTTTATCCTTTATTTTACAATCACAATATAATAATATTTATAAGCCTCCGTTTTGAAAGTTTTAAATTTCAATATATCCGCATTTCTATTTAAAGTTCAATTTTATGTATAAGTCAATAACTGGCTGTCAAAGCCGCGCATTCATGAAAACAGGATTAACTTGTTTATAGTTATACAACAAATTAAATTTAAAACTATCCGTAGTTTTTAAAATAAATTATAATATTACCTAAATCCAAAGCCTGCTTTATAAAAGTTACTTTTAGATCATAATATATCATCAATTCTAAATATTTACAATGCGACATGTCAATCAATTACAATCCATTAACATTACCAATATTAAAAACTGTCCAAAATATCTAAGAAAGTATTCTCTAGCCAAAGGGGTGATACTCGTAAAATATTTGTTTCGAATACAGGACCGTCGACGAGTCCAACTCAGCGCGCGTCCAGGTAGGTTATAAACCTACAATCCAGCCCCTACACGCATCAATTCTCATGCAGCGCGGCTCAAATAAATAACCATTTATAAAAACTTCGAGAGATATATACTCCCTTTCCCTTAGCCACAAAGGGATTATGCAAATCTCTGCTGTCTCTTCTTCTCAATGTAACTTACTCTATCTACCCTAAAACTGTATCTGAAACTTTCCAGAAATTGCCTGTGTCTACTAAAACTTTGTTTTACTTAAATTCTTCAAGAATAATTTTAAAATCGGTAACAGACTGTGAACCCTGATTTTAAGCAAATTTGTCAAGAATGTTAACTCCCATATATACCATTACTTGTGCCATTTGGTAATATGACTGATGGTGGAACTGAGAGAAGCTGGGGCTCTGTTTCCACATCTTTGCACACAGTGGTTAATAGTTCTGCAATTGTGGAATTCTACAGTTTCCAAAACGAAGTACGAGGATATATTAACTTTGAGCTTTGTTTTGGCGACTGCTTCATCGATGGGCGAGTAGGTATTTGTTGTTTAGCAGTGTTGAATATTGGAGCAATTATATAATGCAATGTATATCTCCATCATAATATAGGCTAGTGTAAACATATATAATCAATAATACAAACAAATGGTATTAGTAACTCGCTAGATTATAGATGTTATTTAAACACATATGTTTACGTCAATTATTACTAAAATTAATATTCTTTTTGCTTTAATATAATTACATGTCACATAATGGATTAGTTGAATGAAACGTGTGCTACAAATGTCTACGCCTCACGCAAAACTGCGTACCGCTTAGTACTTCATGCTTGAGCGGTACTGCGGTTGACAGTGGCGCGCACTCAATTTAATCACAAATAACGAGCGCGCGGTTTTTTGGAATCTCTCCATTATTATATTAATTAGGTCGCAGTGTTCACGGCCTGTACTGCGTGAACGACAGAAATATATTTTAAATTATTTTGCTTCTGAAATTTTGGCTCTAGAAATTAAGAAATGTGACATGTAATTGTAAGATATGTATTGACATGTATTGTAAGATAACAATTAAATAGATCATGTGCGCGGCGCCTACAGCTGACCTACGAATTTCTGAACAATTTTAAATTGTGGCTGTGTGCGCGGCGTACTGTATATGTGTTTGAAATTGAAATTTGAATTTATTTATGAATATAACATTATGTATTGATTGTTTTGTGGTAAATAAAAAATTTTCTTTCCTAAAAAAAAATTTTCTTTCCTGTGTCTCTAAGAGAATTGTGTCTTAGTGAAACTTAGCCACCGATATTGCAAGTTAAAGTGTGGTCGATTTTATTTGGTTTTCCAAACACACATAGAGGATTTCTGTTAGCTGTGGACAGTGTCAAGTTGTATCCGAGTAAGAGGGCGTCGAAGAATTATTGTTTGCTGAGTACATACCCACACGCTTTGAGAGGGAGTGTGGATAGACAAATGGATAATTGTTTTTCTATTCAATAAGGAGTGG